GATATTTGGGATGGAGAGATTTTGAAATTTCAAATTCTCTTGGAATGGGAAAACTGTTTCCAACTTTGCAGGAACTGAGGTAGCACCTAGGACCTAAAGTCCTGCCCCATGGTGCTATGGGTTGAACAAACATGTAACAAAGACAGTCCCTGCCTCAAAAAGCTAAAATAACATAATTTATCTGAACTCTAATAAAACTGTTGCCAGGGAGCTAAACTGTCATGGGGTAACAAAGTATTGCTGTGGATTAGGACCTAGTTTAGATACAGACACTACACGTAAAAATACATGGTCCGTTTTCAATATGGCCAATGATTAAGAGGATGCTTTCATCCCAGGCCTGATGTTTAATAATCTGGAGAAAGGGTTGCGGGGGAAGGGGTGGCAAAGTATACAGATAGTACATACTTGGTTACTCACCTCTACATAAGACTGTGGGGAGCTTCAGAGGTGAAGCTAGGTGAATGGATGGCAGGCTGACAAATGAAGCATAAGGGATTTGCATGCAAAGAACTAATGCTCATTGCAGTAGTATACTTGAGCCTGGGGCAGTAACATAGTAGGAGTTGTGCATGCAGAAAACTCACCTCACCATTGAGAAAACAGTACAGTACCGCCACAATAAAGCCCTGTAAAATAACAGAACCATATCATTTAGTATTTCAGTGGCAATTTTCTCAGATTAGAATTGATTTTCAAAAAATCCAAAAGTAGATCAAGTGCTTTGTTTCTACTACTGAAGATGGGATATTTAAAAGGAAAGGAAATTTCCTTTCTGTGATTAAAAGATTATATTTGTGAAATATCACCTGGAATGATCCGAGTGCTAGTTCAAAAAACAGCTGAATTTCCATCATGCCGCTGTTCACATCCTCAGGGAAAAAAGCAAAGATGATATAATGAATTCCAAAAAGGGGGATGAGAAGGAGGGTTGATTTTGCAAGTCTCCTAGGAGAAGAAATAAACGGGAAGATGATATTGTAAAATGGGAGAAAGGGGAACTATTTAACGGTGAGGTATTTTATGTACACACACACAAATAGTAAAGCGATAACTTACTTGTATTGGTTGAAATCATTTCCCCTTCCTTCTGGTGATCTGAGCTTTCTCATTAAGATTCTTAAAATATTTACAAAAAGAATGAAATTAACCTGTAAAAGCAACAAACATGAATGACTGTTATCAGCCTTTTGAAATCTCTTATTAGCAGCCAGTTGCTGTACCCTACACAGGACCTGCAGCCTGACTTTACTAATCTGTTTTAATTAACGACATTAATCTCTGGGTGTTCCTAGAGGGTGATACTCCCCTGTGTGCCACTTATGCATCACTTAAATCCTACTTAATCCCTATTTTGAAGACTTAAGCAGCACATAGTCCCTGTACTTTGCCTCCACAAGGGGTGGATTCCACTAACAGCTAAATAGTTGACAGTATTCATTTTCCAAACTCTAGACAAATTGTCAAAGAAAAGGGAAGTGACACTCTCTGGTAAAATGAATAGTGGCCACAATTTTCAAATACCCCCTGTTCAAATTTTGGCTTTTAGTGAGCCAGCTGATTGCCTTAGCTTGATTAGACACAAGTGAAGATGTTCAGAGGAAGCCATTAATGTTACCCTTTGACAATCATCCATTTGTTCTGCCTGCAGAGGATCTTAGATAATGGATCCAGATTAACGACAGGCATAGCAGGCTTCATAATGGTAATTGTTGGAGGGATGGTTCAGTTTTCCTCTGAAAGGAAGAAAACCAACTAAAAAGGCTGATCTGCTGCTTGGGAAGGGGGAAAGGAAAGCAGTATTTTCCTCTGTTCACTTGGCTTAGCAAAGAGTAGAAATACATGTCCCGTACCAAACTAGAGAAGTTTCTGAACCAAGGGGAGTTCAATGCAGTGTCAGTATTCTCCACAGGTATGGAAAGCAGAGGTGTGGGAAACTAATGCCCAGGGGCCCCACTGCCAATCCGGGTTCCTGCCACCAGCCCCAACCCAGGGCCCCCAGCTCTAAGCTGCTGGCCCCTCTGCTGCCACCCAGGGTCATAGCCACCAGTGACAGGTCTCAGCTGCAAGTTCCTCTGAGGCCCCAGTCCTCAGTCTTGCCCCTGTTCCACCTCCACCCTACCTCTTCCCCATCTCCTCCCCCGAGGAAATCCTGTCTCTGTTCCTCCCTTTCCATCCCTGAGCTTGAATGCTGCATTATTTGCAGTGGTCCAGAAATTCTGGGAGGGCAATGGAAGAATTGCTAAGCCCGGGGCCGCCCACACACAGGGGCAATGGGCAGAGGAGAGAGTTTGGTGCCAGGTTCTCCCCATGAATGCTCCAGTCCTGCAGCACCCACAGAGTTGCCGGACCGCGGATGGTGCTAGGTGACGGAATCTCAGATTACAGAGGTTCCGCCTGAACTATGATATAGTTTGATACAGACTCAATTCTCCTTTCTTGGTAAGAAGCAGTATAATCCCAACTGGAACACGGAGAATAAACTTCATCTTATTTATGTTTCACATCACATCTACCAACAGCAGATACTCTGTGCTCGGCCACTACCCAGCTAGTGAGCCACTAAGTTACTCACCTGCAGTGGCTTCCTCAACATGCCATCACACAGTAGCTTTTAACCCTTTCCTACACATACTGTATTAAATGTGAGGCCCTATTAGATTAATTTGAGTAAACATGAAAGGGAACCTTTTTGAGTTTTCCCCCAATGGATGTTGCAGATAGGAATGTCCTTTCGGATGATGTAGATTTGTTAAGGGAGTGATTCATTACTTTTATGCATGAAAACATTGCATTTCAGTATACATGAGCCATCTTTAGAGCTGTGTTTTGTGCTGCTATAGGAGACATTCTCCCTCATTCCTGCATTATACAGTTCATTTTGTTACATTATCGCTGAATTGTTTTACCTTCCTGGAATTTAAACCCCACCCCATCTGGTGTGAATGTAGGTTGTTGCAGTCAATGAAAACAAATGCTAAATGTTCTGAGTGGCTAGCGCAGTTGTCCGGCATTCCATTAATCTTTGTGGGGTCAAAAGAGTTGCATGCATGTAAATGAGAGCAGAATTTGGCTCTGGGTTCATATTTGATGCTAAAAGTGATAGCTATGTGGTCCAAAGCAAGTTGGTTTTGGCATCACTGAGCAAGGCAGTGTCAGAGCCTGTTGTGCTGAAATCCTCAGCCCTTTTGTTCCTCCTCCAGAGCCGCTCATGGATCAGTCCAAAACAAGCTTCCACAAGCCAGTTGAAGTTCATGTGACATCAGCAGGATGTGGAAATCTGATCCCCTTGAAGCTTTTGCTTCTTGGAAGGGAATTCAGAACTTTCCTTGTATCAGTAGCCCTAAGACATTCCTTACAGGCGCTGACTCCTCATAAGCAGAAGTCACGGAGGTTGTATCATGCCAGCTAAGACACATGTTTAAAATAATTTGATAAACAGTTTTAAAACATCTCAAGAGGGTGATCTTTGATTTTGCAACATTTGGGAATGTACTTTGAAAGCACTTGTTACAGAACAGACTTACAAAAATGGATAAGACGACAGGGCCTCTAATGATCCACCAGATAGCAGCGTTGGTATTAATGTCCCAACATCTGTAATAATAAGAAAAGGGAAAAATGTACTTTTTAGATCCCCAAATGCCAACTGCTTTCACATAGGATCTTAATCTCTTAGCTCTACAAAGACCTCTATTTCATTTTTCACACATTTTTCCATTTTCCATTCAGGGCCTGCTCTTGCTCCCTCAGTCATCAGTGGCAAAACTTCAGAGAGGCTAGGTTGCATCTGGAGTAGCCAAATGACACATTGCCCTTAAAATTAAGTACAGTCCTGTTTATCTAAAAGCCTTGGGTGGGGAGGGGACACCTGAAGCCATCAGAGAAATGAGGTTCCGCTGTGCTTAGAAGTCAGCTACAAAGTTGGGCTTTGAAATGGCTGTGCTCCAAGTCTCTTACTGGGGTACAAAAAGAAAATGCCAGCTGGCTTTCAAGGGAGTATCCACTAGATTTGAAAATCCCTTTGTAGACTAACACTGTTTAAAAGGAGTTTAAAATCATTTGATGCATACTGAGTCCCTCAATGCCATCTGGCAGAGGGCACGTTATACAATAACTCACATCAGGCAAAAAGTCTCAGAGGAGTACCCGTGTAAGTCTGTAACTTTAAAAATGTTAGTCCTGTGGTACCATGGGGTACAACTACACAGCAGGGCACATTCGAATTAAGCTATGCAACTTCAGCTATGCAACTTCAGCTATGTCAATTGCATAGCTTAAGTTGAAATAGCTTAATTTGGCTTTTGGTGCTGTCTACACAGCAGGAAGTCGAAGGAAGAACACTGTTCCTTTGACTTTGCTTACTCCTCATAAAATGAGGGTGGTAGGAGTCAGAGTAAGAAGTCCTCCAATATGACATTATTTCGAAATAATGGCTTGCTGTGTAGGCATGCACTATGTTATTTCGGAGTAAGTGATGTTATTCTGAAATAATGCTGCTGTGTAGACATACCCTTAGGCTATGTCTACACTGCACTTCTCTTGCACAAAAGCCTAAGCAAATGAAGCACAGATTAGCATATTGCTCTGCTTCATTTGCATAATTAATTAGGGGGCATTTTTGCGCAAGAGGCTTTTGCACAAAAAGGAGCTTCGTAGGCAGCTCCTTTTTGCACAAAAACCCCTTCTTGCACAAGTGCCGTTCTTCCTTATTTTTTCAGGCAGAACAGCTCTTGCGCAAGAAGGGGGTTTATTGCAAAAAGGAACCATCTACACAGCTCCTTTTTGCGCAAAAGCCTCTTGCACAAAAACAGCCCCTAATTAATTATGAAAATGAAGTGTGGCAATATGCTAATTCATGCTTCATTTGCATAGGCTTTTGCACAAGAGAGGTGCAGTATAGACGTAGCCTTAGAGACCACAAATAGGATCATGAGCTTTCATGGGTAAAACCCACAACATCAGGGAGACTCCCTCATTGTTCCAACATGCTATTATCAGAATCTTTTCTAAACAGTGTCATGCAAGGTATCATATGCAAACCCATAACCTGCTAGTTATTAATATCATTGCATGGTGTATATAGAGGGGGTTGTGTAAAGCAGTATGAATGTGTGCCTGAAATATGTTCCTAAAAGATGTTTCACAAGCAGTGCATGAGCCAATCTGTCTGAGACAAAGGAATATTATTTTGCCTGTTTTCATGTGTCTCCAATGTAAATGTAGCCAAGTAATTTCTCGAAGGACAATGAAAATTACATCGGCATAGAAGGGAAACAAAGCCATCAAGCTAAATAACCGGGGGCAGGGGAGGAAGAAATACTGCTTATTGATTACAACATGGGATGGAAACTGCAACCCCTTTAAACAGAGACAACAAGTTTTGAGAAATAGAAAGACTTTTTGGAATCCAATCACTTAGGTGACAAAGGGGAAGCAGCAACCTTAGGCTACGTCTACACGCAGCAATATTTTGGGATACCGAAATAGCTGTTCTGCATCTTTTGAGTGCTGTCTTTATTTAAAAATATAGCGGGTTTGCTCTTCTGACATCCCAGTAAACCTCATTTCAGGAGGAGTAATAGTGTTTTGGAATAGTGATTTATTTCAAAATAAGCGCTGTGTAAGTAGCGTCCAATTTCAAAATAAGCTATTTCAAAATAAGAGATGTAATTTGCATAGCTCAAGTTGTGTAGCTTATTTCAAGTGATGGCTGCAGTGGAGACCCGCCTTAGAGCTCATCATCCATTGACCTTCTTTTTTTGACTCTGTCTTCATAGACAAGGTCAGCTCCCAGATTACTGCGCTAGGCAACACAGCATGGGAAGGAGATGGGCAGTCCTCAGTGGAGAAAGAACGGGTTAAGAACTATTTAGAAAAACTAGACATACGCAAATCCATGGGTCCGGATTTAATGCATCCGCGGATACTGAGGGAGTTGGCAAATGTCATTTCAGAGTCTTTGGCCATTAGCTTTGAAAACTCATGGAGATCGGGAGAGGTCCCAGATGACTGGAAAAAGGCAAATGTAGTGCCCATCTTTAAAAAAGGAAAGGAGGACAATCCAGGGAACTACAGACCAGTCAGCCTTACCTCAGTCCCTGGAAAAATTATGGAGGGGATCCTTAAAGAATCCATTTTGAAGCACTTGTAAGAGGGGAAAGTGATCAGGAATAATCAACATGGATTCACCAAGGACAAGTCAGGTCTGATCAGCCTGATTAGATTCTATGATGAGGTAACTGGCTCTGGGGACGTGGGGAAGTCAGTGGATGTGATATACCTTGACTTTAGCAAAACTTTTGATAGGGTCTCCCACAATATTCTAGCCAGCAAGTTAAGGAAATATGGATTGGATAAACAGACTGTAAGGTGGATAGAAAGCTGGCTAGATTGTCGGGCCCACGGGTAGTGATTAGGGTTGCCAGGTAGACCCCTGCTAAAAAACCAGACACTCTTGGGAAGTCAGTGGATGTGATATACCTTGACTTTAGCAAAACTTTTGATAGGGTCTCCCACAATATTCTAGCCAGCAAGTTAAGGAAATATGGATTGGATAAACAGACTGTAAGGTGGATAGAAAGCTGGCTAGATTGTCGGGCCCACGGGTAGTGATTAGGGTTGCCAGGTAGACCCCTGCTAAAAAACCAGACACTCTTGTCCGGGGGGTGGGGTCCGGCCAGGAGGGGGGCAGGAAGCAGAGCTGGCAGGGATGGGG